AAATTATTCTGAAGTCCCAAAGAACCTTTTTGCAATAAATTTTATTTGTTTAATTACCAAATTACCTTTCTTTGTTTTTTATTTTAGTTTGCATTATGTCACATCCAGTAATATGGCAATTAGGAATAAGAAATATTCCTAAATAATTAAGGGTCAAAAATGACAAGGAGAAATAGAAGAATTTTGGTGGAAAATAATTTTTATAGTTTTCCAAGACAATTATGAAGTTTGACTAATTAAGGAAAATTGGTCAAGAATAATTATGGAAAAATATTTTCAAGTCTCAGAAAATTAAGGAAAAATAAGGAAAATATTCCTTGAAAATTATATGGGATTATAAAATTGGTTTTATGACCAAATTGCCCTTGGAGAAATTACAAAGGAATTTAAGGGTGATTTAAGCTAGTTTAAGGTCCTTTATTTGGAAAATTCCAAATAAATATTTTTAAGGAGAATAAAATCCCAAGAAAATTTCCTATGATATCCCAAGGAATTATAAGAGATTATGAAATTAAAAGAAGACCCTCAAGTATCCAAGATTTTTCCTAATTCCTTTGAAAAGAGGAAAAATCACTAAAGAGAAGGAAAATAGTTTTCCTTTTTATTTAATTATTGGGAAATTAAATTTGAGACAAAGAGGGCAAATTGGGAAGATAAAAATGAGGAGAGTAATTTATGGATCTGACAGAAAATAATTACAGAGGCCAGAGCACTGTAATTATAGAAAAGAAGTTAAATCCGGAGTAAAAGTGCACCGATAAAGTGTTAATCAGAGTCTTGCACTTTGCTTGGCTCACAAGTTGCCACTTGTCAAGCCTTTAATGGATGGTAATTACAGCTTTCCAAGTGTCAAGCTACCATTGGAGAGGATCTTGACTTTGGAATATAATTACATTATGAATTAAGTTAATTAAGAGAGAGGTTTCAAGGAGGCTTAGGCAATTGACACTTGGACTTTCATTAAATGTGGTAGATGAGATATTTTGAGAGCATTAATTGAGTATTTCCTCCCCCCATAATCTGATCTCACTTCGGTCTAGAGGAAAAGAGAGAGAGCAAGAGTGATTTGTGAAGGGATCAAGCCAAAAGCAAGCATCTTTGATCTTCCAACTAAGATTCAAGTTTGGTAAGTTGTTCTAAGATTATCCTTGCTTTGTTTTATTGATTTGTATGGTGAAATTTCTGGTTTTCCCTCTTCATTGGAGCTGGCTAAAATGCTTATGGGGTAGGGGAGGAAATTTTATGGTTCAATCTTGCTAGAACACTTCAAAGTATGATAGATCCTAGTGGTTACAAGGGGTTGTAGGTTGATTTTGAAGTGTTTTCTTTGTTATGAAGCTTGAGACCCATTTCAGCCAAACCAAGATCTGAACCCTAGGATGTGTTTTTCAAAGTTTTAAGGCTTCCATTGTGTTCAAAATGAAAAATGGTGTAGGGTAAACCTAAAGAACAAGTGTTGGAAGCCATAGAATCAAAGTTACAATTTTTAGATTTTGAACCCTAATGGTTCGGCCAAGCTGAAACTAAAAGGGGGAAATTTATTTTGTTAAATCCAAGTAGATATTTGGAATCTACATGAAAAACCATGTAGGAAAAGGTCAAGAGGGAATTTTTAGGGTTTATGAAAATGAACTCTAAAAATTCAAGAACAAAGATGAAGCTTTAAGGGTTTAGGAGTTATTTGAGTAATGTTATTGATTCTTATGTGTATTGGTTGATGATTCTTGCTGCCCTTTTTGTGGATTGCCATGTTAGGGTTTGGAATTTGTGGAAGCAAGAAAGGAGAACAAGAAAATCAAAGAGTATTGGATTAAGGTAGTAAGATTTAATTGACCTTAACATTGAATGTTGCATTGATTGCTATACAATTTCATGTGCTATTATGTGGTTGAACTAAATGATGAGAATGATGATGATTGTGTAGCTATACTCCTTGCTTTATGTGTCTTGGCTATTGCATGTTAGAATGCTACATGTATGAGGTAAAGTAGTTCCCTATTAATAGCAAAAGGTTGAAATGCTTGTAATTGATGCATGTTAATGTTTTGGTTGATTGATCTTGCTACTGGGATTTTCAAAAATCTCATCCCCCAAATATAATGTAACATTTTAGGGCCTGAAACTCTCAAGAGCAAGCTGTAGATTAGAGGCTAAATTATGGTGTTACACCAAAAAAAAAAAGAGTCGTGGACATTTGGTTATGTATAACTATCAACGGTTGGTGCTGTAACCCCTAAGCAGGACATTAGTTTAGAGCCATGTTTTATTTAGTTACCGAACTAATTTCCACACGAAATTTGGCATGCTTAAAGTTCACGTCCTAAGCTTCAATTTGATAGCTAATACATTAAAAATGGCCAAGTATACGATTTTTAATGATTTTGCAAAGTTAAGGTTCAGAATATGGAAAAAGGATTTTTGCTAAATGGACAGAGGTGAATTTCACAAAAACCTGACGCTTTTTTAAATGGAATTGGTTCATAAGCTTACTTTAATTGAAAGAAGATTCAAAGAGGTTTTTATAGAATTTTGAACCACTCCATTTTGATTTTTGTGGAATAAGTTTTGAATTTTTGAAGTTGGACCAGAAAATTGGATTTTTACCCAATGAACAGTAAAAATTCTGAAAATAAACGTTTTTCATGAATTTTGAACCCAAGACCATCCAATGTGGTCTAAAATGGTTTTAATTAAACCCTAAGTGAATCCGATAGTAGGGTGTGACACATTGACAACTGAAAGAGCAGTGGTTGATAACTTAGGGTGCAAAGATTGACAACTGTCGCGGCTGGTTTGACAACACATTTTCTCAGTATATCACACCCTAAGTTGTCAAAACAGCCGCGACAGTTGTTAATCCTTGCATCCTAAGTTGTCAACCACTGCTCTTTCAGTTGTCAATGTAAATTTAAAAAAAAAAAGAAGGGTAACTTGATAAGTAAACAAATAAAATTTATTGTAAAAAAAATCTCTTGAGACTTCAGAATAATTTCATAATTTTAAAGGACCTTTTTATATTTAATTCCCTTAGATGGGACCTAATGGTAATTTTTTCTAAATGATTTTGCTCGTTTACATTCTAAATGATTTTGCTTTCCAATTTGAAAAATTAGCGTCACATCAGTTATATGACACAACTGTGTCTTTGTGGAGAATGATATGTACATAAATTTTATAAAAATTTAGTAAAAAATTCCTATTTGAAGGTTAAAAAGACTTAAGTTTAAAATAAATATAGACAGTAAAAATTGTAAAAATTAGGATTCGTTACAATACTTTAATAGGTGAGTTTTCCAATTTTCATCATCTTTTTTTTTTGGTCATTTCTAAATTTTACCTTGAATAATTTTAGGTGGCATATTTTAGTAAATACTTTTCATGGCGTAACATTTAAATAATTTTTTTACCTGTCTATAATATATAGATAAAAAAGCCCTTTTATTCTTTTGGTAGTTAGGTTATGCGCATAAAACAGTAAATTAAACCAAATAGACTGTAAAATCTCATATATGAATTTCCATATAGATTTAGAATTAGCGTGATTGATTTTTCAGTATATAAGAATATAAGATAGATTTGATAATCATTTATGGTGATTCGCATTGCTTTTGACATAATTATAATAAATTTGTGAGTACTATTTTTGCTTTTACTATATTTATATGATAAACATAAAATTTCAATAAATTAACTATTTTGAACCGTATTTACAGTCCCCACTAACTTAAAATCTGATTTATTTTTATTTGCATAAATAATTAAATCACATATTAACTCTCAAAATTATATAATTCGTAATCAAACAAAAAGTTTTGTTCTGACCCAAAAAAAAAAAAAAAAGAAAACAAAAAGTTTTGGAATTTTGTTGCCGACAATAATTAATATTTTAGCAAACGCTGATTTCTCTCACTATTTCTTATCTCCTCTGTTCGATCTGATCTTCTCTTTTGATGCAGGAGTTTTTGGTCGAAGGATCTGAAAATGTGCTTTGCTAGAGTTTCAAGGTATGCCTTCGCAAAGTTTCCCTTGTTTTCTGCATGGTCTCCGTCTTTATTCCGTCTTCCTCCTTCGTATGCCCTGCTCTCCGCTTCTGTTTCCGTTCCAATTCGATAAATCCTCATAATATTGAAGACGCTGTGTCTTCTTTCCATGGCCTACTTCATAGGCGCCCCCACCCTCTATAGTCCAAATCAATCAGATTTCCTACTGTTATCTCCCTTTTCGCGCAAGCGGAATCTAAGGGTTTCACGCCATCTTTCGTTACACTGAGCATCTTGATTAACTGTTATTGCCATGTTCGTCGAATGACCTTTGCTTTCTCTGTCTTAGGCAAGATTTTTAAAATCGGCTGTCAGCCAAATACGATTACTTTGAATACACTAATGAAGGGCCTTTGCATCAACGATGACGTTGAGAAGGCCTTAGATTTTCTTGATGATCTGATAGCAAGAGGATTTCGGTTGGATGGAATTAGTTATGGCACGTTAATCAATGAATTATGTGAGAATCAGAAAACAAGAGCTGCTGTTAAATTGCTCCAAAAGATAGCGAGAGGACCAGTTAAGCCTCATTTAGTTACGTATAAATATAATTATTGATGATTTTCGCAGAGAAAGACTCATAACTGAAGCCTGTGATTTATTTTATGAAATTATTGGTAACAGATATCTCACAATGTTGTGACCTACAACTCTGATATATGGTATGGCCAGAAGCTGCAAAATTGTTTAATGAAATGAGGCTTAAAGGCATCAACCCTGATGTTCATACTTTTAGTATATTGGTTGATGCATTTTGTAAGGAAGGAAGTGTCAACAACGCTAAAGCTATTGTTGCTATGATGATGAAGTATCGTACAACGCCTAAATGAGTACTATATGATCAATTATGTTAGTGAGGCAAGAGAATTTTGGCTCCTAATATTGTTAGTTGTAACATTTTGATTAATTGGCTCTGTAAAATCAAGATGGTAGATGATGCCATGGATCTTTTTAAAGAAATGAAGTGCAAAAGTTTGATTACCAATCTTGTTAGCTGTAACTCTCTTGTTGACAGTTTGTGCAAGGCAGGTAAAATATCATATGTGCAAGATATTGTTTATGAGATGCATCATGCTCCAGATATAATATTTTACAATATCTCGTTGGGTGAATTGTGCAAAAGTCATCATCCTGATGAGGCAATTGCTTTATTTAAGCGAATGTTTGACCAAAGGATTCATCCTAATACATGCACATATACCATAATTTTGTATGGTTTATGCAAGGGTAATAGATTAAATACCATGTGGCAGATTTTTCAGTATCTTTTGGTTAATGGCCATCCTTTGAGTGTCCATGCATATAATGTAATGATTAAAGGACTTTGTAAAGAGGGTTTGTTTGATGAAGTGAAGGATTGCATTATAAAATGAAAGAGAGTAGATGCGCACCTACTTTTGTAACTTTTGAAACAATCACTAGACCTCTTTTGGAAGAAGGTGAGAATGACAAGGCAAAGAATCTTTTGGATGAAATGCTTCACTAGAGGTCTCCTAAAGCGACAGAAGAAGGTTTGATACTTTGCTCCACATCTTTTTGATTGATGATCCTTGATACTCATATTAGTGATGAAATTTGCTGTAATAGTAACCAGTTTGTTTCATCAAAGCAAACTTTGTGGACTATATAATGGCTGGCTTCAATTGCCTATATTCTGTTTAAATCTTATGTTTTATTTTTTATTTTTTTTAAAATTTTTCATTGCTAGTAGTTGTCAAGTTATTTTTCTCTTTTTGGCTTAACATGACTTTATTATTTCTTTCTTTGTGGTTCATTGCTAATTTTATTTATTAACTCTTTGGCATTTTATTTAAAACAAAATCTATTATGTGGTGCTTTTAATAGTACGATTGCAGGACATAATAGTTATTTGTGCTTTTCAAACTTTACAATATTCTCTAAGCTCCGATGAATTATTTTGTCTGACCATGTTATGAAAGTTTATTCTCTTGGGAGCTGATGTTTTGTCTCTTACTCATGTATAATTTTTCAATAACCCTAAGCAACTGATAGATATTTGCTACCAATGAAAGAGAGCAAATTTAGGGTATTTTTGTGCGAGATATAGAATGATATTTAGGTGGGTTCAGCTTAGTGTTATTATTGTGGGATACTAACTTTGGCAAAAATGAGTATCTGATATTGAATTAATTTTTGTTGTTTTTTTGGGGCATCAATGCAGTATGATTCAAGAGGAAAGGCTCTATCGTGCTGGACATGTCTTTTGGCTTTAGGAGTATTTCAGTCATGCATAACAAATGGCCATAGAGAAAGTGTAGAAGTTGTTATTCTTGCAGTCTTTTTGTTGAATGCTTAGTAAATTTCGGCTCCTTTGATTACTCAATATTCATATTACGCTTTGCTGAATCATGTGGCGACTGTTACTAGAAGTTGGTGTCATTTCTTTTGTTTTGGATTTTGATTTTGATACCTGAAAAATGAAAATACCACTTACTATTTATTGTTCTAATCAGCAAAGTCTGAATCTTCGATAGTAGTATTGGTTTTTGGGAGTCTGTAGCATTTATTAGGTACCAAATAAAATTACAAACAAACAACAAGTCTTATCCCACTAGGTGGGGTCGGCTACATGAATCACACGACGCCATCGTGCTCTGTCAACAACCCAATCCTTAGATATGTTGCTGATTAGGAGGTCTCGTTCAATGACCTCATTCAGCGTTCTTCTCGGTCTTCCCCTGCCTCTTTTTATGGGACTCCATCTTGTTTGATCCACCCTCCTCACCGGGGCCTCCAAAGGCCTTCTCTGCACATGTCCAAACCATCTTAAGCGATTTTCAACCATTTTCTCTTGGATAGGTGCCACACCGACTCTTGTCCTGATCTTTTCATTTCGAATCCTATCTTTTCTTGTATGACCACACATCCATCTCAACATCCTCATTTCTGCTACTCCGACTTTGTGCTCTTGTTTTCCCTTTATTGCCCAACATTCACTACCATACATCATAGCTGGTCTTATAGCAGTCCGATAAAATTTTCCTTTAAGTTTCTCAGGTACCTTCTTATCGCAAATAATTCCGGTAGCTTTCCTCCACTTTAACCAGCCAGCTTGTATTCTATGAGAAATGTCTCCATCAATTTCCCCATCCTCCTGTATAATGGATCCTAGGTATTTAAACTTTGATACTTGAGGAATAATTTGCTCTCCCATCCTCACCTCCAAATCCCTATTACCTTGCCTCCCTCCAAAATCACAATGCATATATTCTGTTTTGTTCCTACTCAAACGGAAACCTTTCGACTCCAAAGTCCTTCTCCATAACTCCAAACTAGTGTTAATCTCTTCTTTTGATTCCGCCATAAGAACTATATCATCTGCGAAGAGCATGGACTTAGGGATTCTTTCTTGAACAGGTTTAGTTAGAACATCCAGAACAATGTTGAACAAGTACGGACTCAGAGAGGATCCCTGATGTAGGCCAATCTTAATAGGGAAGTCTCTGTCTCCCCCCCAGGCGTCCTTACACTGGTAGTTACCGCCTTATACATATCTTGTATGACTTTGATATACGCAACCCGTACACCTTTCTTTTCCAAAGCCTTTCACAATACTTCTCTTGGCACACGATTAAGCCTTTTCCAGGTCAATAAAAACCATATGTAAATCTCTTCTTTTACTTCTATATCTCTCCATTAACCCCCTTAGTAAATAGATTGCTTCCGATGTGGATCTCCCTGGCATAAATTCAAATTGGTTTTCCGAAATAGAAGTCTCCAACCTCAATCTATATTCCATCACTTTTTCCACAACTTCATTGTATGACTCATAAGTTTTATCCCCCTGTAGCTTGCACAGTTTTGAATGTCTCCTTTATTCTTGTAAATAGGAACTAAAATGCTTTTCCTCCACTCATCCGGCATATTTTTAGAGCGTAAAATTTCATTAAAAAGCTTGGTTAGCCACGCCTCCCCCTCATCGCCCAAACATTTCCAAACTTCAATAGGGATACCATCAGGCTCAACGGCTTTTCCATTGTCCATTTTCTTGAGAGCCGCCTTAACCTCTCCGATACGTATCCTGCGGTAGAAAGCCAAATTCCGATCATCTTCGTTAATTAGCAAGTCCTGCAAGTCCTGAGTCGCATAATTGCTTCCCTCATTAAACAACTTGTAAAAGTAAGCCTCCCATCTGTCCTTAATATCACCATCAGTAACTAACACTTTACCATCTTCATCCTTTATACACTTTACTTGGTCCAGATCTCTCTTTTTCCTCTCCCTTTGCTTCGTGATCTTGTAAATATTTCTTTCTCCCGTCTTTGTTCCTAACTCCTGATAAAACCTTTCATAAGCTTTAGTACGTGCTTCGCTCACTGCTCTCTTTGTCTCTTTTTTAGCCAACTGATACTTTTCCTGGTTCTCTACACTATTGCACAAGTGTATGGCCTTAAAACAATCTTTTTTCTGTTTGACTTTCTCTTGCACACTCTTATTCCACCACCAAGTCTCCTTATCTCTTTGACCAGGACCTTTGGATTCTCCCAGAATTGCTTTAGCTACCAAACGAACCCTTGAAGCTATCTCTTCCCACATCATGTTTGCATTTCCCTGCAACTCCCAATTCCCTTCCTTCAAAAGAGTCCTTTTGAATAACTCCTGCTTCTCTCCTTTTAACTGCCACCACTTAATCCTGGGTTTTGCCACTTGATGGTATTTTTGCCTGGTACTCTTAAAACATACATCAAGGATAAGTACTCTATGTTGGGCACTCACCCCGTCTCCTGGAATCACTTTGCAATTAGTACACAATCTTCTGTCCGGATTCTTCACCAAAAAGAAATCAATTTGTGATTTTGAGACACCACTTTTGTACGTGATTAAATGCTTCTCTCGCTTCTTAAAACAAGTGTTGACAATCTTAAGATCGTATGCAAGAGAAAAATCGAGAATAGATTGTCCTCCACTATTAAGCTCCCCAAAACCAAAACCACCATGGGCCCTACTGAATTGTCCTGCTTCTTTACCAACATGTCCATTAAGGTCCCACCGATAAAATTTTTTCTTCGAGTGGTATGTTTTGAACCAAGCCCTCCATATCTTCCCAAAACTTATCTTTAAGGTGTGTCTCTGCCCCAACTTGAGGTGCATAGGCACTAATGATATTGATAGTATCCTTTCCAACAATTACTCTTAACGATATTATTCTGTCCTCAAACCTTTTAACCTCTACCACGTTTTTTTTCCATGTCCCATCAGCGATGAAACCAACCCCATTCCTTGTGCTCACCTTTCCTGTGTACCAAAGTTTATACTCTCCAAGTTCTTGGCAGCTTCTCCAGTCCATTTGGTTTCTTGGAGGCATAAGATATTAATCCTTCTGTCCCTCATAACTCCTGCTACTTCTATAGATTTCTCATTTAACGTCCCAATATTCCAAGTGCCAAATCTAATCTCAGTCTCATGAACTAACTTCTTTAGCCGCCTCCGTCCAAGAGAGTGCGGTAGCCCTTGCTCATTTAACACTACATCCGGGCGACAATGCAGCGGCTCTAGCTCATTTCTCACTGTACTCGAGCCATACAGCGCGTCACATCTGGGCAACGACCTAGCATTAGCATAATTACTTCGTTGATCCATGTTCATGAGATTCGACGGGTTTTTACGTTGGCTGTCGAGGGCCTAACACAACCCTCCTCTTTTATCCGGGCTTGGGACCGGCTATACAACATAGGCGGAGTTTAGGTACCAAATAAAATTGTGAAAGAATTTTTTTTCTTGTTAATTTCTTGTTTAAGGAATACTATCATGCGAAAAATTTTCACTTTCCACTTACTAATTCATCGTTTGTGCATGCTATAATGTTGATAATCTGCAAGGTATCTTGAAGTCTTGAAATTTTCTGTTTTTGTGAACTGGTGCTTTCAAAGCTCTGCATTTTCCTTTTTCTTGTATGACTCATGGGGGTGAAATGTGAAGTAATTATCTTCCTATTTCTAATCAATATGTGTAACTTACTCTTTGATGCTCTCATACAACTACACAAGGCTTACAAAACAATTAATGAGTGGCTGGCCACCTGACATGAGTTAAACCTAAGGGTTTGGCTTGGGTTTTGGCTTTTTTCCTTCCAAAACCTAAATGATACTTGAACCACAGATTTTATATTTTTAAATTTATTTTTTTCATGGTTAGTATTAGACCATTAATCTATTAGTTTTTACCTTTTAATTTTTGGTTTAACTAAAGCCCAACCCAAAATGCTTCAGCAATTCAAAAATACACACTCAATCCTTTTAAATGCATTTACTCGTGTTTATTTATTTATAATGAAATCTGAATCATTTTATTCTGGATATAAGATTGTTCATGGCCATTCTTGAATGGAAATGTTGTGAAGGTGACCTGAAAGGGGATGTTGTGAATGCATTTACTCTAGTGTTGTGACTTGAAACACACATCAGACCTCTTTGTGAAAAAGGAGAGAATGATGGGGCAAATAATGTTGTTGACGAGATATTCACCGGAGGTCTCTTGAAAAGATAAAAAGTTAAACGCTCCAAATTTTATATGATACTTGTGTTCTCTCCTGAAATGTTTGGATTCTGTCGTGTAAATTAACGATTGTTTTAAAAAGACCATGATTATATTTTGCTAGGTTGGACTTCAATGAAAAGAATGCCTGAACTTCTTAAAGGCATGGGTGTATGAGTATTATTGCAGCAGTCAAAAAACCTCAAAACCAACCTTCCATGAATGCGCATGCTTTCTTTCCTGCAATGCTGCATAGCTGTGGTGTAATTTTCATTTCTAATAATTGTGTACTTGAGTACAGCATACTTTATTGTACGCCGCCACTTGTATATGCTTCTGTGATTTTTCTTTCCATATTTATACTTTTCCCTCAACGAGAAAAATGGAAAAGCTCCTTATAGGTACCAAGTTGTTGTATAGCATATCGGTGTGATTTTAACTTTTTGTTGTTTTTTTATCTTGATATTTCTACCTAAAATTTTGAAATCTCTGATAAAGCAAATCCAAATTGGGATTGAAAAGCAACTTCATTGATTTCCCTCTTCTCCCCTTTAACCTTTTCACCCTTCATATCGTATCCTAGTATTCTTGAATGCTAACGTTGTTTTCACTTTTTTTTTTTTCCCCCCCCTCCTAATCAGCATCGGCCATGATTGCTGCCAACATTACTGGGTTTATAAAAGCAGTGGGAATTATAGCATTGTGTGCCAGAGATGAAGGAAATGGTAAAATGACTCTTGCAAGGCATGTTTGTGTTGGGAGGAGGCATGGCCATTTCGGTTCGGTTAATTCCCTCGAGCGGTTTGAAAAACAGACACATCAGTTGAAAGCGAAGTAGGATTTGGGAGAATAATTGATGCTCCGCTGGATTCTTTTCTATTAAGCTTGCTTTTGGTGACTATGCTTGTTATGGTGAAGAAGAGATTGAAAATGGAAATGTTGGAGAGGAGAGCATACGAAGGGTAAACCCTTTGGCCTTGTTAGACGTGTTTGGAATGAGGGACTGGGTTGACTTAGGACTGCTTAATCCACGTACATGGGATTTGCTTAAACTCAATCCATCAAAATGAAGTTATCTGTACCCCGCATGGCATTCGAGTTTGATTAGATGGGCAAAGTAGGGCTCCTACGGCATCTATGACTAAAATGATGCCTATTTATTGTTGAGTATGAGTATATTCAATCACATTGTTGCAATGCAGAGTTTCGTTTTATTGCCCAGTCAATTTTGTAAAAGTATGCTCTGGTTTAGTTTTCCTAAGTAAATGATGTATCTTTCACTATTACTCCTCTGGTTCTATTTATATTTATAAGGCAGAGAGAGAAGGTTTTTGTTTTGTCTTATTTTATAAGTTATTTTATTAAATTTTGAGTGTAAATGTACTATTTTGTCTTTTATTTATTATATTATAGATAATTATCTCTTTTGAAAGGTGCATGTGTTAAATATGGTAAAGTTAAAAAATTGTTATATTTTAATAGAGAATTAATGCATTTTAAGATTTTTTTTTAGTTTATGTGAAATATACTGGAAATGTCTTATAAATAAGATTAGAAGAGTACATGATAAAGAAATCAATTTAAGACGTGAAAGTCTAACATATATCCAGATGTCAGAGTTGGAGCTGATTATCATCCCCCGAAGAATTGGAGGCTGTTTTTTAGATTGTGCCTCAGAAGAGCTTTTGTGTCTGATAAGTTTAAAAGTTCGGTTTGGTCAATACTTAGAAAATGTCATCTTTTTCCATCAAAGGACAAATAAGAAATGAAATATTTATTCCTATATATTTACTTATGGTTCTTCCATCAAAACACAAATATCTGCTAATTATATAGTTATTTTTACTTAATTTATAAAGATTAAGAAATAAGTTAAATTAATTATTCATCATTAATAAGGATTTTTATTCAAGCCTAGTTATTGATGGATATAAGAAACATAGGACCATTGTTTAATGCATTTATTTTATTATTCCTATTATGCTCCTATTAATTATATGGAATAATTCGCTGGCAAAAAAAAATATATGGAGTAATTGAGTTAAGTGTTATTAATAAAACATATGTCCAACGTTTAATATGGGCCTTCTTTAAAAGAATTTTAAATCTGAATTTTTTTTTAATTTGTTTCTTATAAGAAGAATTGAATGGAATATATAATAGGAGTTTTTTTTAACTACTTTACATACAAGATTTAAGAGATTTATTTAAGTTCTGCGAGAGAGAGAGAGAGAGAGATTTAGTAGAGTTAGACAATGGTATTAAGTTTGTCAATAATTTGTCTGGTTCCAAAATTACTCGTGAAATTGTTGGGCAATTGTTTTCTACTTAATTAATTTATGTCTACTTTTCCAAGTAATTAATAAGAGTACCTTTCTAAAAGAAAATTAATACACTAGACCACTGAAAATGTTCTTATGAGAGTGACAAGACAAACTTTCAAAAAATTACATTTTTTTATAAAAAGGACATCAGGGGGTAATTATTTTTTATTGTTAATTTTTATCTACGAACATAAATTATTGGTAATAATTTCCATTTCATTCGGAGTTAGAGTAATGGATAGCAGCGTGAATGCTAGCAATAATATTAGGAACAATGTACTGAACAGCAATATTGAGCATAACATCTTCCCAAGCCTTTACTATATAGATCATGAGTTTGTTTCCTAATCAGGATGGCTAAGGTTATAATGTTCCGACAGTGGAAAAATTAAGAGTTGTTTTATAAAGTTCATAAAAGCTTAATGTATTATGCTCAGCTTGATTTTGTGTCAAAAATTTTCAAAACCATAATTTTCAAGATTTTTAACATAAAACTAAACATATACTTAAATATTGTCTAATTTAACAACTTTTAACTTTACACTTATATAATATACACTATACCTCATGGAAAAAAAGTTTACATAATAATAAATAAAGGATACGCTCGTACATTTATATAAAAATTTTTATAATGTGACTTATAAATGGTGTTAGAATGGTTGATCATCCAAGAAGAGGGCTAAATTGAGTGTTAATTAAAATCAGAAACCTTCTTGCAATATAGTGAAAACCATAAGAAACTTAGAATATAAAAATAATGAACAAGATAAGCGTGATAAGAGAAGTAAAATAGTTTGGCTGGACGTATAAAGAAGTAAGGAAAAAGAAGATGCAAACTATGATTTATCCTAATTCGGCTTCTCCATAGACCTATGCCCAATCCCCAGAACACTTCTGAAATTTTCAATACACTATATCTCTCAAGTTTAAATCAGGTACTTGAGAATAACTACAACTCCCTCAAGTTTTCTATGGGTACCTAATAACCATTCTTCCTTACAACTTATAAAGTTACAATTTGTTTCCCGCTCAAGATCTCTCTAGTTTGAGCAACTCTCACAAAGATTAATATTTACAATGGAAGCATTCTTCTCTCTATAAAGTAGATTTTCTTAAACACTAAAGCATGATGAGAATATAATTTCAGAGCTTTAAATATAAAAGTAAGAATCTCATAATTTTGACATTATAAATGCATTTGCTCTCTCTTCTTTTTTAAATTGAATTATCTTCTATTTACATATGATATTGAACATTTGACCGTTGAACATTTTCTTCCCATTTGGCTTGAAGAATATGATTGTTGAAACTAGTCATTGGAAGCTTCTGGCAAAAAGTTGATTAGCAACGTCATCAGTCTGTTGTGGCTTAATCCCTACTCAATCACTTGCTAACACATGTTGTTAGATAATCTCAGACATTTTCATAAGTATCAAATATGTTTAGATGGAGTAACAAAAGATTTAGACTTGATTTTGAATCCATCAGAAAACAAGTGTGAAGAAGTTATCTCTGACTGGAATAGTTATTCAAGTAAGCGTATGAGTTAGAAATATATCACCTATTTTTCTTGCTTTTACTTGATAACTGACTTGAGTATGCCTTTACTAGACAACTTGTTCAAGTATGAAGTAGAAAATAGAACTTCTTGTTTTTGACATTGGAACTCTGATGCAAACAGAACGAATGTCAATTTTGAGTGATCATAAATATTCCGATTCAACTCCAAATTTGGCAAATGACCTATAAGTAGAAAGGTCTTCAAGTCTACTTTCAAATGCAACAAGTATACTCCAAAAGTCCTTGTAGTTTCAAAGACATCTTCATCATAGTGACTGAAGATCAGGGATAAGGTGTGAAGCCTTAGTAGCATCTTCCGAGCGGCAAATCTCCTTGATATGAAACTCTTTGGAGTTTTTCTTCATATCAATGAACCATGTTCTGAATTTAGTTTCGTATGAATCAAGTTTCACCTCAAACAAATTTGTAGCTTAGGAAATATTATAAAAATACCGAACATGTGTTAGAGCTAAATAAAGAATAAAGCATAACAAGAGTATGTGTTTTCTCGAAAAGTACTGGAGTAACATGTAACTTGAAAATGAACTCAAGAAACACATGTCAAAATCATCTCTGAAGGTTATATTTAAGTTTTGGTGAAATATGATTCAAGATGTGATTATATAGCTTCTGGTTTGAGCATTTTAACTTCCAATTGAACTATTCTAGCTTTTAATTAGTCATAGCAACCTCTAATATCAAATCTAAAAAATTGAATCTTGATATTCCCATTGTCCATTGTCCATGTTTTTACTTTAAAAATTTATCAAATTAAATATTACTCGATTACTTTATTGAGTAATGTTGCTTAGATAACTTGATTTTAGCTTTTCTATTCTCGACCACTTTGATTCGAGGTCATGCTTCTTAGTCATACTCTCTCATTTCTTCTTCTTCTTGATCATTCAACATGGTGAAATTCAACATGATACCTCCTTTCTTTACTTGATCAATCTACACAAGATATTGTCATTGAATATAGTAGTTAGTCAAAGTTTGAGATAAACATTTGATGCAAACTTTTTGCCCTTTGAGTCAAGTTAGAATAAAATTTAAAAACTGTGGACTCTTAAGTGCTAACTTGAAGATTTTTTCGAGAATATAGTGAATAAATCTTTTTCACAGAGAATTTAAAGTTTAAAAAACAAAAGTGTTATTACTTGAGTTCCTAATTGAGAAGAAGACTACTTGATAAAGAGTTCAAGAAGCAGCGTTTTTGAAAAGATTTTTGAAAAAAATGATAGAAGGAACCTTTTACTCAAATATGAATTAAACTCATAAAACTCAGTTATTATCGAAAAACTAGTTTCCCGATAAAAAGCTTGTATAAAAAAAAGAATCTTAGGAACAAGGTTCTGGAGAAATTTATCGATAACCAAGAAAAGTTTTAGATAATAAAGCCAGAAACTTGATAACATTATTCTAGATAACATTATTGAGAAATGTTCAAAAACTTTGGTTAAACAATAGAAGCTCAAATATAGTTCTGGAGAAATCGAGTTTCAAAAAGAATAAGAAAAGATGAAATTACAAACTTGAGTTGATGTTTGAAAAGCCAGAAACTTGAAAAGGTTCTAGAGAAAACAAATTTGCAGGCAAAATCATTTCAAGGGAACAATCAATAAAGTTATCAAGAAAGTGAGAACTCAATAACATGTGAGTTTGATAGAGTAAATATATCTTTTTATGTTGATCAACTTAGATACTCAAGAAATTAATTGAGAAACTGAAAAGTCGACAAGATTCTCAATAAATAAAGGATTTAAACTTTATTTTAGACAGTTTGGGAAGGTATGCTTCAAAACTATAGAACGTTATCACGAAGCCTAATTATCGATAATGTTATTGAGAAAAACTCTACAAAAACTATTTCAACAAAACTTGATAACATTATTGAGAAAAGTAATAAAAAACTAGTAAACCAAAAATATTTATCATCATCAAAACTAATTATATCTAATAAATGAGACAAAGATATTTTCTTTCTCCCACACTAGAGGAATATATTATTACTTATTTCATTATTCTATCCATCTATATTAAATATATAAGTTGTTTGGTCACCTTGTTTAAAAACTATAAAATAGTATGTGATCTATTTTGATTTTTGACCCATACAAATGCAAAAGCTCTAAAACATAAAAGAAAACAAAGAAAATTTTGCATGGGTCTAAAGGAGAAATATTAAGATTTGATGCTCTTATGAAAAAGGTTTTTTTTGTCAATAATATAAAAGGATTAAACTTATTGTGCTCATCTTTAAAATCAAATTATTTTTATTTACAATGTTTAAACACTACTTTAA